GCATAATCTGTTTAAAAAGATTCATTCTGAAGTATGCGATCTCTGTATCAGTGACCAAAGACTATTATTTGATCAAATCCTCTCATATCTCACTACATAATTATGCACTTTCCCCCTCACTCGAGCATGAATCATGTTTTTCACACTATTGTTACGAAGGAACATGAATAATTATAGGCGTGAAATACATTTTGAAAGAATTCCAGCAGCATTTCCTCGACTCGATGCAAATACAGTTCACGGAGCCACTTTTGTTCCTCTCTACTAGTTCTTTTTAGACGGAGCAACAATTACACATCTTCGCAGCAGCCCTGAGGGGTCTGTTGCCTGCAGCTAATGAGGGTTTTAGTGCAGTAAATCACTGTAACTCAGCGTTTGTCATTTCATTTTTTTATCTTTCAACATTGGCTTTAAAATATATTATGGGGAGGAGCCGGCTTCCTACTGTTCAATGACTGTCTTGCTAAGGGATGAGCTTTGAAGTTTTTGGGTCCATCAACAGGAATATTTGCTTAAGCTTGCAAAGAAAAAAAAAAGGTATGCCAGAACTCTTGAGGATGTCCCGGCAGAAATCTCCCCAAAGACATAAGAAATACATGTTTGCTGAGACTTCAAACCAAAAAACTGAGCAAGACTGTGTGACACTTGAAAACATTGTGCCATGGTAAACATTTTCCCTTCACCTTCATGTTTATAATTTCCATGTGAGTTTCTCTTTAAGAGCTGTTTGAATGTGACAGAAACTGCAAAGGAAAAGAGAAATATGAGGGCAAAGGCAGATCCCTGACTTTCTGTAAGCACTTGGATTTTCACTTGACTGACATTTTTGGAAGCGTTGCCTCCTGGAAGAAGAATGCTGTCGTATACTGTACTATTGTTTTTATCGTCATGGCAGTAAATCACCTTCTTAGTGAACAACTGAGTTTTTGATGATCAGACATAACTCTAAACTAATGTTTTACTGTTATTTCTCATATATAATCATTCAACAATCACTAAAAAACAGCTTTGGTTGGGCTCCTCAGTTTGGAGGCTTTTAGTCCAGATGACGGTGACATCACTCATATGCCAAAACTTAAACCTCACTGAGTTTTTGTTGGGAATCCTGAGTCAAGCTCTCAAATAGCACCTCCACTGACATTTTACATGATGAGAGTACAGACGAACACTGACTGTAAGGTGTTATTCACTCCGAGTATGAATCAAGACATGTCAGAAGTGAGCGCTCAGTTCTACCCTCACGCAGGAACATCGACTGACCGCGGAGATGAAAATGTATTAAAGATGTTACGCGGATGTGTTTAATGTGTAGGGTTAGAGCAGAGTCACAGTCAGTGAAGCTGAGTGGATCTCAGCGACAAGTCTGCCAGGTTTTATGTAAAGCTACAAAGGCAACATCTGTTGTTGATTCAATGCACACCACATGCTATTGTGTTAGCTGTCACATAAAGATGGCAAACAAGTTTTGATAAGTTACGCTCTGATGTGCTGTTCCGCATTATTTAAAGGAACTTGTTACGCTGTGTTCGCAAAGGCCCCATGTGCTGCAGATGACCTACTCTGTGTTGACAACCATCATCAGAAAATATCTCTCTTTACGTTTCGCTATTATACACTGAAAACTAATCATTTCAATATGCATGTAACATTTCAGAGCAGCGAAATAGAACTTCCGCATAAGTTAATGGTTTCCCATTTTTTTAAACTACTCAATCAAATTTTTGCATATTTTTCACCACTGCTATGATCATCAATATCACACAAGCACCTACACACACCCCTTAAAGATCAAAATGACACTACGAATATCTACTACACACAAATACATTGACAAATTCTTTCCATTGCTTGTCACATTTATCACATGTGCCTGGACAGTCGCATGTGAAAATGTATGTTGTCGTGTCCCGACAACCAGTGAATATCAGCTGCCTTCTCATAAACTTGTTAACATTACTGTAAATGGAAAGAAGCAAACGTGAGAGCACCAGATTCTATCGTGAGCCCACAACTCCGCTGCATTTTTCCTCACCTGCCACTTTACTCAGGTGCAGTTAAGTCACTTAAACAAAAGCCAGAACAAACCAATGATTCTGGTTCTGCGTCCACTGATGCCCACTTGGCTGTCAGAAGCACACAACAAAGCACAGCATGGTGCATCAGAATTGTCTCACTCCATAAGGTTTAGAGTTCTCCTCTGTTTCTTTGGCTGTTTTAAAATCCATGAAATTTTCATGTGATGGCTGAAGATGACATCAAAGTGGTTATAATATGCAGCCTCACAAGCAAAATATGAGACAAATCGTTTCTGCATCTTCTTAGGGAACAATTGACTTAAGGAATTTTCAAGCCACGGTACATGACTGCAAGTATAATCTTTATAAACAAGTTTAAAAAAAACCCTGATTATGTCACTGCAGCAGAGACTTCAGCAAGAAACCCTTTTAAATTACTATCTCATAAAATATTGTAAAATAGAAAAATATTTATAAGGCTAATGTTTGAAGAAAGGGAGTGAAAGCATTAAGAGTTGGACTTTTTGCATTATGATCTAGTTATGCAAAAACATACTCTGAAGCTTGTGCTGTTGTGAATGTGTGGTACCTGAAAATCCCACATACTGTACATCAAGTGAGGCTTTTTTTCCTCCAACATCTTTCTCTTAACACACTCCCACAACATTACTCACTGAGCTGTGCTCAATCCCTGCTTAAATAATATCCATTACTGTTCCGTGCGATAAGGAATGCAAACATATGCACACCTCCTTAAAGATGTTTTTTTTAGGGCTGAGCCTCATGACCTGGATTAGACGACACCAAGGCTCAAGTAGTATATTTTAATCCACTTGCATGGAAGGTAAACTGTGAATGTATTCATCCACATCCACTATATTATTGCCAATATGCAACTATCTTTTGATCAAGGGGTGATTATGGAATGAGTTCAGTCTCAAGTGGCTCAGGTTTCATTCATAAATTGTACAAAATGTACATTAATTGTTCTCAACTTTGTGGATTTATATCATTAAATCCTCAAACCAGAACCAGAAAATGGTTGTGATTTGATTACATTTGATTATTTAATGTTTAAATTTACTTCAGCCATTTCTAATCTGGCAAATATACAGAAATAATAGCATCTAATTTACAGAGCAACACTTCTAGCTTGTGCAGCTGATTGTTGGACATGAGTCCTCTACTCTTTGAATGCATCTGTTAGATGTGTTGTTCTTAAGTGTGCAAAGTCCAGTAAAAAGACATTATTGCAATAGAACGCTGCTGTTTAAACATCAATTTAATTGTAAAGTAAAATAAAGCACATCATGTGCAAACAAACCAACAAAGGTCTCACTTCGCTGAAATCCTGAGTATGTATAGGTCAGTAAAATGACAAGAGACATTTTCTATCTTTTGAAAGTGCTAGCAATTACATTAGAAAGTGGACTAATTTAGAAATAGCCTGAATGTACCTGTAAGCCTGCCTGCACAGCCTGCAGTTCCTCTTAAGCTGCACATGGCAGTTATTGTGATGACAGCAATTAAATACCCAGTGATTTGTGTGCCAGTGGTATTACGACTTATCCTTCTGTATGCCCTGCTCTCCAGAGCTGCATGGGAACAAGGTTTTTATGAATCCAGTGTCAGTTCACCGGCAGAAAGCAGCACACATAAACTAGCCCGTCCTCAAAGGAGCAGCCATGAAACAGAGGATAAACCACACAAGTGGTTAACGTGACACGGGAGGACCTCAGTGGGAGCTCACATAATACACACTATTCTCACAAGCTTAAAGCAGACAATGAACACTGGCGCTGTCCTCGCCTCTTGGTTTAATACTCAAATGGGCAATGTGTGTTTGAGACCACACAGTACATAACTGGACTGACTAGGTTTCAAACTGTACAACACAAGGGACAACTAACCACGGCTTAAATTAGAAGCATTGTGCTACGTATGTCCGATTTGTGCCTCATCAGCATTCTCTCAATCTCTCCCTGTGGCTTTCCTTCTGCCACATCCAGGCTGGGCGTTTGGTCTAGCATAGTAAAAACCTGTTCATTTCACATGAAGCCGCGGAGTGTTTATTAAATACACCATTCAAAACTGAGTGTGTTTTAGTCCACAATTTGACTTATTTGTGTAAAACTACAAGTTGACATAGGGGACAGTTTCCACGTAGTCAGAGGCTATGTGATTTCAGTTTGTATCAACATATTTGCAGAGGTTCTGGATGACCTGTATGATTGTGGTGATAATTATATGTATTAAATATATTTCTTACATAATTGGATCAGTGACAACTTGTATATTAGTCCTAATAAAAATGTAGATTTGAAGGTGGAGGAACATTGATAATGTGAATTTCAGGTATATGTGTATTGGAAATGACACTTACCTTAAGAGATGGAAAAATCAGTCCTGTAATCTTGTCATGAGGAATGGTTTTGTTTGTGTGTATGTATGTATGTATGTGTGTGTGTGTGCGTGTGTGTGTGTGTGTGTGTGTGTGTGTGTGTGTGTGTGTGTGTGTGTGTGTGTGTTGGGGGGGCGGGGGTACGTGTGTTTCATGTATATGCGTAACATCGGACATTACAATCGCATTAAATAGAAATCCACAGGGCAGTTTGAAGACTTACCTGTTCAGACGATGCTTCACAAGTTAATGATAACAGTCAGCATTTAATACATCATACTATTTTATTAAACTAATAAAATGTACCACAATTCTGAATGAGCCTAAATTAAAAACATGGTACATTTCAAAGCAACATCAAGAACAACATAAAAGTTGAAAAATAAATTGCAGTATGCAAGTGGGATACTTGAATGTCACAGTGTTAAGAACTGCCTCTTGAATTCAAATTCATACAGTTTAATTATGCATCATTTGACGTTAAATACACTGACATTCAAGTTACCCACGCTCTAGTCAGCTCATGACGACTTGCTAAATTTGCCTCTACTTTAGTAACAGACTTGAAAGAATCAAAGTTTTACCTTGAATGCTCAGTAGGGACCTTAGAAGCCAAGCTTCCCCTCTCTGCCCTGAGGAGGAGAGTCAAATGGGAAAGATCAGAAGTCCACTTACCCCACAGGGAGAAGAGGTGAGGATCACAGCCAGGATGGGAGGCCCACAACACTATGATCAAGCCTCACTCGCAAACCCCATTATTTGAACAAAAAGAGTGTAGTTACCCCTTGGTGGTAGAGGTGTACTGGAACTAGAGCAGAAACTATTGTTCTGTTCAAATAACCACATGAGTCTTATTGAGGATTCCCATGCACAAAGCAGAAAAGAGACAGTGGGCACAGCTTAAATGGGTGAATGCAAAGCAGAGCGGCACCTACCTTGAAAAGCTTTCATTAAAAGTTGAGAAAGCAATTTAAAAAATGCCAATGACTTTATATACTTCATTTAGCATGAGTATATAACGCCACAAACACTGCTGTCATAGTTAAATGAGATCAGATAATTAAAACAGCTGTACCTTTACCTATGAGAATTGATGAAATGTTCCATGAAGAAAGCAGATTCCAGACAAAAAGGGAGAACAAAAGGAGAGGAGACACCGATAAGTGTCATGGTCAAGTTGGAGAAGGACAGAGGAGAGGAGAAAGAGGCTTGATGGCTACACATATGTGTAAATATAAGAAAGAAAGGCAAAGGGGACAAAAAATGGAAACTTTGAAGAAAAGAACAATACTTCACATTGCTCTGCTACATGATGAGGATATGCAGCAGCCATAGAGATGGAATGATGAAGATAGAGCAGACAGACCATCTGCAGACGCTCGCAACATGCATTACAGCAGCGTGTCCAGATGAGGATTAGCTTAAAAATTCAGAAAGCTATTTTCAACCACCATGCATCATGTCCTGATAATGGTAATGCAAAGGTCCCGTAACTTGAACCACCAAAATGAAACGAAGGAAAAATGGAGAGAAATGAAATGGCAACCCAGCAGAGTGGGGAATAGTTCCAAATGGGGTCAAACGGAAGAAAATAGAAGTCACTGTGAGAATGAATATGAATGAGGTTGTTCAAAGTAAGTAAAATAACTGAAATGACGGCCCATATCTGAAGCTTCAAGCCTGAGCATCCCACACGAGTAAGAGGCACACACATTTTCAAACACAACAGGAGCGGGAGGGACAGTGGAGGTGTGACGGGATAAAGGAACAGAGCTCATACCTTGGTCGCCCATCATCAGGTGTGCCAGACCTTAAAGGAAAACGAGAGCACAGTCAGCAGAGAACAAGGGATCATGGGAAGCTGTGTGACACTGTCACGCAGGCATCTCTTTCACAGCAGATGTCTGTGCTACTTCAGGAGCGTTGGGATCAGGAAAGAGAGGGACGGAGAGAAACAGAGGATGGACAGACAGGGCGAGCGTGATGAGCATTCGGCCAACCAAAGTAGGTTGCAATGCATCATCAGCCACTTACTAGACATCATTCAGAAATTCTGAAAACTCAGGTTGACCCAGTTTTTCTCTAAAATGTGAAATACCCAAACTTACTCAGCCTACAAAGCACTGACAGAGCAGTCGCTCAACACAAATATAGCTGAAGCCTGTTTTACCTTGACCTTCAACAACAATAGTCGTGTGTCCATGTAACCTATAAGTCATATGCTGCTTTCAGGCACGCACTGAACTCCAGAGATCCTTCAGACTTCCTCCGCAGGGACTGTATGTGCGGACGCAAAGTGAGCGACAGAGCCGATGTAACAGCGGGAGATCCTCCGCAGGATTCATCGTGAGCCAAAGGGGGTGGTGATGATGATTCTAACATGTGGCAGGCGCAAAAATAAAAAACATCAAACAAATATCTGCGGATGAAAAAGCAGTGCCGAAAACATGTACAGACGAAGATGTCAAGAGAGTTTGTGGTGGTAAGAGCCAACGCCAGTGTCGATGGGCTGGAATGAATATGTTACGTCCTGCCTCTGTCTGCTGCACCCCCCCTCGCCTGAATCCTGCAGAGGATCGGTTGCTGTTTTGAACTCTGAGCAGAGAAAGTCTGGACCCACTTCTCTGGAGTTCAGGTTGGAAAACGTCTATACAGATAAAAAAGGGAAAAGGCTTGGACATGGTGTGGTCACTACGCCATCTTGAGAAGCAAATCGCTTAACAGTTACATTTTATTCAATTTATTGGATTTGCACATTTGACAGCACTTACTGTTTTCTTTGGCATATGGATACAGCTATAGTTATCTGCCCGGATTATGGAAGATAGCTGTTATAGTTTGTTTGATTGATCAAAAAAGTAAAACAAGCCTGATATGATTTATTTATTAATACTGATTTAGGGAATTTGTCAATATCATTTTTTTTTTTTAGTTACTATGCTCAACATTCTAGTGCAAATGAAAAGTTCTTCAGTGTTCAGGGTCAAAAGCCCTGCTGGTCTTTGTTGATGAGGCAATCAAACTAAATGTTGAATTTACACCTGAGATGAAAGCATTTACAGTCAGTAACTTAGAAAGTATGCAGTACTCCAAGGTTACTAGAAGAAACTTATAATCAGTAATCCAGCAGCAGTCGGCAGGTTCGTAATGCACACCTGAGCTCTTATGTTAGAATAGCTAATTCCATCTCTTTAAAAATGCATTAGTCTTGATTTGGCACAATTGCTTTTACCCATTTCATTACACCCTTCTGTACGAAATGTGGACTATGTATATATATAAAAAAACAACAATAAAAAAAAAAAGAAAATCAAGAAAAATCAGAGTAACCAGACTTACCATTCCAGTATAATCAATACCTTGACCAGTATAAAGCATTGTCTTACAGTTATTGGAGGAGCCTCAGCCAAGACAATGTGTAGACATACATTTTTTTTTCAGCAAGAATAGTAACCAACAATTACATCAACATACCCACCTTCAGTTTGGTTGTCTTCTGGAAGCACAGACAGGCAGAGAGAAAGAGAGGAAAACATTCATTAAGCAGCATGCAGACTAGTACGGGCCATTGCATGTCGTAACCATGCAAGACATTAAACATCACATGCAAGTGAGCTGTTGTAACCCCTGCAGAGGATTTAAACTGATGGACTATAACTGTGGTATCAACAATTATTTATTCCAGCAGACTCAAAAGAAATCTGTGTGGTGTTATTTTTTCCTTTTTTCCCTAAATGAAAAACCTGCTCTACACCACATGTGATGAAATGCATTGAACTAGAAAATAACCTAAATAAATAGAGTTGGCCTCAGTGCAGCAATGCCTCAAAGGTTTCAGAACAGGCAGTGGGGTCCCGTGTTACTGGAATTCTATTCAGGTGATTTGGTCACAGTGCTGAGAGCAGTGACCAGTGAGCACGCATTGGAAATGCAGAAAGAGATTGCCTACAAAATGAAATTGCCCTAACATTAATTTTGGCAATCGGAGTGAGGTTTGTGGAGGTGAGAAAACTGCCATGTAAAATCTGTCACTCTGATAAAGGAGACCGAGAGAGGAATTACATGTTGGTAAAGTGACAGCAGAGAGGTGAGGTAAACATCATGCTACTGTGGGGAAATAAATTGGTTTGACAAAATGATGTGACTGGAAGCATGCAAAACCAATGAGATGAGAGTGTGTGAGGGCCCATAGATGCCTATAAAAAGAACAAACAACTGGTCAGTCAACAGTTTGTTCATCATTAAGTCTTTAGGATTTGTCTGGAGACTGA